CTAGCAAGGAGATCGGGCTGAAACTATAGCTACAAGCTATCCAAGGATGGTACTATAGAATGTCACCTCAAGGTAGGCCTAGTGGCGTCATCTCTTGGTTAGGCCGGAAACTTATCAATCCACCCTCGTATTTCTATTACGTTCTGTATAGGACTGATGACCTTATAATAATGACGCCCTATATAGATACAAGCACACATAAAAAGCGTTCCTATGCGAACGAATGCATAACACCAGAAAAGAATAGAAAATTACTGGAACTTTTCTACCGTCTCAGCAATATAACTGGAATAAAATGGATAAGACTTCTCACGCAAGTATGCATGTCGTTTCAACACAAACTCACAAAGATATATTTGACAATCTGCGAAAAAGGAAAAGAAGCAAGATTACACAACTGGAAACTTCCAAAATCGCCATCAACTAAAGCACAAAAACGTAACATCCTCCGAGGAAAAGGTTTTGATCAAAAGATGTAACTTCTCAATAACACTAAACAAAATAGCGACAGAGAGATATCATAGCAAACTTTGAAACGGCCATTTGTGATTTACCAGAAAAGCCTAAGAAAAATGTAAACTTTTGACGGGTGTTACGCTTTGTTTAAAGGTTTTTGAAATTTCGGTTAGTTTAGGGCAATATTCAGAGAAACAGAAGATATTTTCAAATATGAATATTAAAAATATATTCCACAAGTCAGTCAAATTATGCATTTTCGCTCGTGCGACATGTGCCGTTTCACATAAGCGAGTATAGAACCCGCTCGTTCGAACAGAGCGTCAAGGATTGTACAGGACCAGATAAATCTATTCACGCTGATTCTAAAACGCGAGTCATCAAGGCAGTCTCCGGGATGGCGACGCTTTTTAACGCCAGCCAGCGCGGCAAGTCATTTCTTTATTAACGTTCCATCAATCCGCAAAAGAAGGTGCTGCGTTGCTGTTTTATTTTAGTTTGTCTGTAGTTAATGCATATAATAGATGATGGTAACGCAATTAGATTTCCTTCGGTTGTTCATTGCTATACTGACAGTATACAAAAAAAAATTGGTGATATTGGCAAACCTACGAGGTTTTATTCCGCTGTTCGGTCAACCAAACGCATTGTTATGAAAACTCTTGGAGGCGGACGAGCATTTATACGCGCGCGTTCAAACGCGCGCTTCAGCACTATATAAAATGGCATCGTAAGAAAAACTGCCGATAAAGAAATATGTAATTTCTACGTTCTACGAACATTTCATGATACTGTTATATTAGTATACCAATACACATACAACGATTACCAAATTAAACTTAAACCATTAACACTTAATTGCAATGTTTAAAAAAAATTTAGATTGATTGATAAAAAAAAGTATTGTACTTAACGACAAAAACAATGCTTTCTTGAAATGCCAATTAAAATTTTATTGTCGTTATAAACGCACGTTTCTATAATGCTATTCATTAACATAAATGTGGTATACCATATTTTTACCTGACAATACGTAGATAAAGCAAATTATTGTTATTTCTTTACTCTATATCCTTTCTGAGTAATAAATGCACCGAAGAAAATATCAAGTAATACTTTTAGGCCTATTTATGTTTAAGGTAGTTTCGTTGTTACAGTACATTGAATATATTAAAAATATTTCAAATAAACACATAAATATGGAGGTACCTAGGTATTTAAATAATTTGAACGCTACGTAGGTAATTTTGCATTAATCCTTATTCTATGAAATAAATTGGCAGTGGCAAAATGCAGTAAGTAGGTAACTAAAAAAGGGACTACTAATAAAATAACACTTATTAAAACAACTGTAATAGTTACGTACCAATCCACTTCAGTTTTAAGTGTTAGTTAATTATCGAGTGATTACCCTCAGTTGCATGCGTACGTAACTATTTTATCTATTCCACTTACTCATATTTGTCTACAAATCATTAACATACACTGTAATATTGTTTCAATATTTCTAGTAGGTACGTATAAATATAGTAGGTACCTGGTATTATACGATACATGAGAGATACTATTTTTACTAATTCCTACAACAATAGTTGCGATACGTAAGCATATTTTCAAAACAGAAAATGTTTTTGACTGAAAATTTCATTGTTTTATTATACCTATACTTAATCCGAAAATTGGACGAAAATAATTATTTTTTTTAACATGTAGTTATTCTATTTTTACAATTAGGTACCTATCTACCTATCTAAGCCGTTTTCGTATCAGTCCATATTACAAACAATTAAACAAAAAATAGTGCAGATACCTACTGTTGTTTAATCGCTAAAGGAAGAATATATAAAAAAAAACTACTTATTATTGGCAGATAGGTACGTACATAGGTAGCTATGTACATACCACCTACCTATCAGTTTGTTTTTTTTTTTATACCTACTTAATCACTTTAGCTAATTTATCTAATTATAAGTTTATCAGTTTTTTATCGCCGCATAAGTATAAAAATTAGTATTTACATTGTACATACTCATAAGTCTGTAGTCTGTACAGTATCCAAAACAGGAAATACGAATGTTCTTTTAAATAGATACTCCTTTTTTTAGTCTACCTACCCTTGTATTGCAACAGTTAAAACAAAAGAGTAAGTAAGCTTTATTGACTTAATACCTCTACAAGTAGTAGGTACCTAGGTATATTAACAATTAAGCGTATTAGACGACTTCGCTAATAGGTACCTATATAAATGTAAACAGTGGAAACAAATCTCTGCTTATTATGGGATAAAACGTTATAACATGACTATACCTACATAGGTACATCAATATGTAATTTAAAAAGAAAATTTAAGGAGCTTACTTACCTTCATGTTGTTTTGTACTAAATAATCGAAGGAACATAGTGTATAGACGATATAAGCTCTAATTAGTTCTAAATTTGTCTTGCTTTTAAAAGCAGCTTCAGCGTTTTCAAATGTAATATCAAGAGGATCTTTAGGGGGTTGTCCCGAACCGGCAGTTGTAGCTGCTTCCGAGTTATCTGATACTATAGTAGTGGCAGCTGTTGACTTGAGGGCAACCTGCCGGAACTCTAGCTTTTGACAGGACGCTGCGAATAATCGACGATTTTTGACGGCACTACATCTTAAAAGGGCTCGCAAAAAAGCCATTTACTCGGTTTTATTGATTTGCCACCGATCTCGTGCCAGAATAATACCAATACTATTTTCAGTATGGTACTGACGTAACTATTTTTCTTATGCAATTTTGAATTAGCACTGATAAAATTTTTATTAATATAACAATCGATCTAGAGAAGATTGGAATAACCGAGCTACCGGCTTAACTGGCACGGCTTTTACTTCAATTGAACGAATTTCAAAATAGAGCACGAACCTAACTCATCGANTCAAACGTTCTACATTAAAATTCAAATATCAAAGAAATGCAACATTCAAAAAGGTGAAAATCAAAATGATAGTAACAAATCAAAGTCATTCAGAAACAATTTTTCAATCGAGTATTTTAATTATTGGGCCAGAAAAGATTTCCAGCCATAGACGTTCGAGTTATACAAATTCAAATGTATATACTTTTGTTTAGCAACACAAGAAATACATTATTTGTGATCCAACACTTGTACTGTGCTGCTTGCATTTTTCTCAGCAATTCCCGAGTACTAAGTAACGCAAAATTACGATATGTACAATACGATAGGTACATGTTACCTATCCCAACACATTTACATGTTTCCAGCTCTTTATAATAAATACTGCAAAAACCGAATATTATGTCATGAATAATTCAGTGATTATGTAATTAACTGTAAGTCACATAAAGTTGAAACATCAAAAAATTGATAGGCATTTTAGATTGCATATGAATCCGTTACCCACTATGCATGTATATCATATTAGTTATTACACGGAAATACATCCTTTTATTACCATAGATATTACAAGGTTTCAGCAACTCTTCTTTCATGCGCGTGCTTTCGAGTAGTGATCGCTAACCGAGGCATGCGCAATACTTTGCCGGTGCAAATACCATGTGTTTTTAGTAACCCTTTTATAATACCACTAAAAATAATTCCAAGGTATACTAAAGCTAACAGAGATGTGATTTATTTAGACCATTTCCAATAATGATGGTTTGTTTAAGTATTATTCATACTTATTCGTGTAAAAGGATAATCTATACAATAACTTTTACAAAATGATACGGTACGGTTCTTGGTTTTATTATATAACAATAAAGCTTTAAAGAATAATAACATTCTAGATATCAAAAGTGGATCTGTAACACAATTCAATCTTTTAATTAAACGTTTTAATAGTAATCTAGTTTCAAAATATAAAATTATGAGAAACAATTGTAGCAATTGCATAGCAAAAATGTTTTTTTTTTGGAGATAATTTATAAATATGTCCCTTTTAAATCGCTTAATAGTCGGATGAAATTTTCAAAAAACCTAGCCTTTCAATAATTGTTAAGGCAATTCACGCATCTTTTACAGTTTTCTTACAAATTTTAAACAAACTTCCATATGGTACAACTTACTTCATAACAAATTTTAAATAAGGAACAACATAAAGTAATAAAATATTTCGAATAAAATAATTCGAAGTGGTCTGTATTCTGTCGAAACTGCCCGACGCGGATCGCGATTTCGATCTTTTTGGATCTCATCAGCGCGTCGCAGGCAGCTCCAACAGAACACAGACCAACTTCTACCTGCTGTCTTAATAGTGCATTTTAGAAAATACTACAAATGGTGCAGTAAACGCCATCTGTAGCTCGATGCTACATTGTAGGATTACGTATGCTCCAACAAGGTCCACTTGTGTGGATATCTACTTGCTGAAAACGAATCCCGGCGTAGCCAACCTCAACGTGATAGGCACGTTAGCTTAATCGAATAAAATAATTCGAAGT